GATGTGGTTCAAACCATGCGAGGGCTTTTCCCTTCAAAAAGGAGGCGGCATGGATGACCTTCTCGGCTTCGTCCTTAAAGTTCATTCCGTGGAAGCGTTGGTAGGCTCTGACTTGCGTGAGGAATCCCTTCAGTTGTCCTGGGGTTCCGTCAAAGGCTTGAGGTGAGTTGAGCCTGAGCTTCTCTCGTCCGTCATGCGGCGTAGCGATGATGTTAGCGGTACCGTGGGGAGTATTGACCTTCTCCGTAAGGTAGTCCGCTTCCTTGGTTTTGTTCTCAAGTCGCTCCATAGCGTCATTGAACATCTGTTGCATCATGGCGATGTCGGAGTCGTTCTTCTTGATCTTCTTCTGTAGGTTTTCATAGACCTTACGAGTGAAGTCAAGTTCTTCTTCCGAGTCTTCGACGTCCTTCATTTCTTCGTCCAGGGTTTTGGCGGGCATAGGGGCCTTACCCTTGGAGTCGTTGGAAGTGGACGGGGTGGCTTGGGAAGACATCGTCGTTCTTACTGTTAGTGAGTTTCGTAGGGTCAACTTACTGAACAGGAGCAATTAAAGTGTTACGGCCAGCTAGTCGTAGGGGTAGTTTGCAGAAGTTGAGGCTGCGGAACTGGTAACAGTAATCGTAGTCGGGGATAGCTTCAGGGAAGCTATGTCTGTCAATCGTAAGGGTAGGTAAGGCTTCGGTGATCAATCGTAGTCTTGTCAAGGTAGTAGCTGAAAGCGGATGTTAATCCTGATACGAAGTTAATTGCTGAAGAGCTATGGAAAGTCTGTCCTAGAGTCCGGCTCGAGTCCATCCTATATACTAGTCCTGGTCCTGAACATATCCCTTGTCAATGATCAGTTCCTCTGATCGGGTGAGCGCTCATCGTTCGGCATGAGCGCTCATTGTTCGGCATGAGCGCTCATTACTTGGCATGAGCGCTCATGGCCCCACCATGGTCGCTCATGGCCCCACCATGGCCGCTCATGTCTTGTCTTATCATCACGTGACTTGTACCATAGTTCTTCCGTTCCGTGAGAGGGTGCCTAGTGTCCCTTATCTCCTGCATATGTGGTGTATTATAACCGCCGCGAGCCTGCGGGGCAGGCCCTGTTCTTGGTCATGCATGTTGGGTTGTAACAGTTATTCTTCTTACAAAAAATCTCGAAATCCACGGAGTAGTGACTTTCGTATCCGTCGATAACGAGGAGGCGGTATTAATCCTTTATATACGGTCTTATATGCCGTTCGAAGTACCGAGCCTAGTCTAGACCTCTTTTATTTATTATCTATTCATTTTTAGACGTTACGATGACCTAGTCATGTAGGAGACCGGATTCCGTGTACCAGGTAGAGAGGTAATATTAGCCCGTAACGATAATATACGGCGGAATACTATAGCCCGACGGGCTGATAGCCTGAATGACCGTAAACCATTCACGATTGCCAGGCTGCATCATTTTCGTGTTTGAACGCCTTTCGGCACTGGTCACGACCATGCCGGTTGAGATCTGGCCTATTATAAAGCTAATCTCGTTAAAGTTGTAGATGTCTGAGTCTACGATACCGTACTTCGCGATTGTGTTCGCTATAAGTAAGAACTATGCGTTAATTGCGCCCGGATCTTCGCATTGGGCCCTTTTATAGTTATACTTACAAAAACGACGCGCTCGCAACTCTAGTTGTCGCTTTATAAAGTTCGAAGCCTATCGCTTCCTAACATGGGGCGCGTCATGATTAGCAAGTAATCGATTCGCCATTTCTTCAACACCGCGAAGACGGGGAGGAAAACATCTGGCGTCCAGGTCGAGGATATACTCAATCAGCTTCTTCTCTTCTAGCAATATCAAATTCCGTAAATTGGGTGTGCTATCACGTCGTAATAACGTTCCCTCTAATCTACGGCCTAAGGTAACGCGACTAATATTATAGATCTTTACCGCGGCCCGAATACTGAGATTTCGGTCTTTCTGAGTAGCCTGAACCGCTAAGTTTAATTGGGTATCTTTGTTATGTACTGTCATTGCTTTCGATGGAGAAATGCGTATTGTGATGATGTAGGTGGCACGATGGCGGCTGGGTGGCCCACTCGCTTGTCTGGCCCACTCGCTTATCATGTACATTATCGTTATTAGAAACATTATTATATATAACTGCCTCAAGCTTATCTTTAATATCCTAATTATAAACTAACTATATTATATAGAGTATTACTTATATTCTCGCTATGGTAGGCTCTAAACTACTTACGAAAAGTAATTAGATATATCTAGCGGTCGCCCTTAAGGTTAATAAAATAAGTAATAATAGCTAGGATAGCCTTATTATTAAGGGAGGTCCAGAGATTAAAGTAGACATAGATCTTACTAATAGCATTGTGAAGTTATTACTAAATAGCCACCTTATCCAACTAGAATAAATAATCAAGTCTAGCTCGTTGTTACGACCCAACATGCATGACCAAGAACAGGGCCTGCCCCGCAGGCTCGCGGCGGTTATAATACACCACATATGCAGGAGATAAGGGACACTAGGCACCCTCTCACGGAACGGAAGAACTATGGTACAAGTCACGTGATGATAAGACAAGACATGAGCGGCCATGGTGGGGCCATGAGCGACCATGGTGGGGCCATGAGCGCTCATGCCAAGTAATGAGCGCTCATGCCGAACAATGAGCGCTCATGCCGAACGATGAGCGCTCACCCGATCAGAGGAACTGATCATTGACAAGGGATATGTTCAGGACCAGGACTAGTATATAGGATGGACTCGAGCCGGACTCTAGGACAGACTTTCCATAGCTCTTCAGCAATTAACTTCGTATCAGGATTAACATCCGCTTTCAGCTACTACCTTGACAAGACTACGATTGATCACCGAAGCCTTACCTACCCTTACGATTGACAGACATAGTTTCCTTGAAACTATTCCACGACTACGATTACTGTTACCAGTTCCGCAGCCTCAACTTCTGCAAACTACCCCTACGACTAGCTGGCCGTAACACTCGTATCTTATTCCTACCCTAAAATACTAAGCTATATATAATAAGCTTAAAGTAAAAGAGAAGTTATTAAAGAATAGAATCTTTAAAGATATTTATTAGTTAGTATATTATAAAAAGTCATAAAAGCGGTAATAACGTCCTCCAAAATAGTTATTAAAGCCTCTGAACGACGTGGCAAGCTAAGAGGAGCATAACAAGGGAATCAGGAATAGGTTATAGTAATCCAGGGTATTAGGTCGTGCGGCTATTCTATCCCGCCGTACATCATTTTTGTAGGCAAGGTCCATCTTGACTCCTAGACGTGCGACAGCCCCCTCCCACCCGACTAGGTAATTACACTTATGGAAAACGGTTGGATGACAAATGAGAAAGGCCTAATAACGACGTCAAACATTCAAGCAGGCTTTAGGGCAACTGGCTGTTACGCCCGCCGCAACTTGTCACCGTGGGCGCGTAGCTATATATGCAGAACAAGGGACAATGATGACCGGAGTCATCATTATCGAAGCTTTTGCTTTGTGCCACAGTTGGTTGCCTTGTCCAGCTCGTAACACTGGCCTTGTCCCATATAATCCAGAATATGTAATTTCATAGCTAGATGTGAAGCTTCATACCCCAACACCTCCAGGTTCTTCTACTGGCTTACCACCAGCTTGGGTCCCAAAGATACCAAATAACCCAATGGAATTCACCTTACAGTTTGATTTAATTATAAATCGTATCGTACGATACTAGAATAGCTCCCCGACGTTAATTATTGGGTATTGTTGGTATCACAGGCGTGATACATTTCCTCATGAGGGTGTATCTTCGGCAACAATCACGTCGATGTCCGTGATAATTGCTGTTGTTGTTCTTGTTACTTCCTATTTACATTGTGGGCAGGGGTCGGTCGAAGTAGGCGGTGACGGCCTGGGTGGTTGCCCCACCTTAACCGGCCGTGGTGACTAAGCCAGTTGTCCCACTTCGCCCAGGGCAGGCGCCAGTCAGCCCACGATACCTGCCCATTGCTCCTTATCAGCCTTGCTGTTCCGACAGGTATATACAGTATCTAAAGAAGGGAATTATGGTAGTCGTACATAACTAGGTTATAATGCAGGCACAAATAACTGAGTATTAAGAGGTAAATAAGCGTATGAGCCGCCGTCGCCGTACGAAAAAAAAACTGCTTCAGAAAGGTGGAACACTTATAATTAATCAGGCAAAGAATATAAAGTCTCAAATTGATGTGACGAGGCAGTTATAGGTAGAAATAGGTTAGAGTAGTGGTCGTGCGAGAAGAATAGAAATGCGCGCCCGACGATGTGGTATCTATGGAGAGACTGGCCATAATGCTCGCACGTGTCAGAAAGTTGAATCTACCTCTAAAGAAGAGGATTATAAATAGTATAAATTGATTTAAGGTGTTGTGGTTGATTTCTCTTACATATTGTCGTACGGGTGCTAAAAAGTGGCTCACTCGCTTGTGAACTACGTTAACCCTTCTTAATAATATACCTATAACCTCCATAAGAAAGACCCTATAGAATCTAATAAAGGAGGTCCTCTTTCTCATCTTATGCTTATAGAGCTGGCTCTTAAGGATATACTTCTTATTAAGTTAGAAGATTATAAGCAGGTCGTTAATATCTAGATATAATAGTATAGTTATTAGTTATAGATTTAGTTACCTAGACTTATATGATAATAGTTCGGCATTGACGAAGGAGTAAGAGCATTAGATGTTAATGGAATAATTATGATATTGATTATATTAATGGTAGAAGGAGGAAGATAGAGGGGACTAAGTAGAAGGAGGAAGACAGAGTGGACTGGGTAAAAGAGAAGGGAGGAAGAGAAAAGGAGCTCTCTAGTAAGGGGAATTCAGGGGGGGAAAACTCTACTCAACACTATAGAATATAGGTATCAGCAGGGGGTAGTCAGCATCTCAGACCTTAATAGGGGGGTAGTTAGTAGAATTACGGCACTGGAACATCTATTAATCTAGCTAACTTATATAATCAACTTCAGCCTCGAAGTTGAATTGCTCGCGGGCAGATTTCTGGCAGTTGTTTGTTTTGCTTGTTGTTTTGATTGTTGAAGTTGCGTTGAGTGAAGCGCTGGGTGCTTGTCACCACCATGGTGGTTAATTGCACGGTCTCCAAGATGGACGTAGTCGAGACAACGGGGGCACCCTCCCAGTCTACGAGAGAAATGCCTGCAATAAGAGGCTTGAAAGCTGTCTGGTTCATGCCAGACCAGTCCCCGCAGACATTCTCAACGGCTGGCTTATATGTCTTCTCCGCGGGCTTATTACAGGGCGCGGAACTGCTGACAGGCTTCGAGCTCGTTGTTGGTGATTGAGTCTGGCGAGGGGTGTTTGTGGGCTCCTCGGGTGCGGACTCTTGGGGATCCTTCGAAGGGTCGCTGACTGTCTGTCTTTCGGGGACTGGGACAACGACGCCTCCGAACGAGGCAAGACCACCACCGGGTCCGCCGAAGGCGACTGCTCCCGCGGGGATGACAACTGCGACAGTGCCTGATACTGTAATGACTTCAGACTCTGCGCTACGAGAAGGTGTCGGGGTCGCAACTCTCGAGGGAGCTAAATCAAGACGCTTTCGTTAGCAATATGAACAGAAGGGTAAATGTGTTGTCTTCGAGGAATGACTTACGCTTGCTGGTTGAAGTGATGATGGTGGGGGGCAAGGGAGTACGAGACAAAGAAGGCGGAGCCGACGAAGTCGTCGAGTTATCAAATTGCACTTGGCGCTTCCGGCGCAACAAAGTAGAGGATGCAGGTGCTGCCGGGCAAGCGGGTTGTTCCTCCGCGTCGGGGAACGCCATCGAGTCAAGTGCTGTCGGATTGGAAGTCCAATTCGACCGCGAGTAAGGGCAGAGCATGGGCCACCTCGAGGGAGTACAATTAGACCTCGACTACCCACCCAACCTCCGGTTGGAATCTCCCTTCTACTCCTTACGCAGAATCAATCAATACAGAGATATTGATATGTCAAGTTGGGATGTTGACGCAGGGTGGAAGCTCTCAGAGGCCAACTGAAGTTAGGGGTAGAATGATGAATTACTGAAGTCTGCTCCTCCCTCGACGTGTACTCCCTGCGCTGTATATATATCTGAGCTGCTCCTTTGTTGCTTGGACTCCTTACTACCTCTGACTAGCCCCTATCCGGGAGGGCTCTGACATGATACTTCGTCACCCCAGGGCCCTACGGTTCGAACCAAATTCCCTGTGAAAAGAATACCAACAAGTGCAAAGATCGCATAGTTCTGCGCATTCTTCACCTTCTCTGCTGCTGACAAGCGGGAGCAGCTATGACATATCAAAGTCAGCAGATTGATCTTGTAAGTAAGTCGTTTCGAGTACGGGCAGGGCTCACCATGTGGCAGAGTAGCAGTCCTCACACCTGTCATCAAGGAAACCGAAGAACGGGTTCTTGAGATCATCCGCCCGTTCTCCCGCTCCCGTGGCAATAAGCATGTGCTGAGTTTCGTGAACCAAGACAAAACCCTTCGACATGTCGCCGATGGCGCTTTCGGTCTGCCATTGCTTCACCCTTCCCTGATTGGTGGGACGAGTCTTGTCAAAGAAGGTCTCGCAGAGAAGCAACAGAGTGGTACCAAAGACTGCGGCCTCGGTAGCTGTGGCACTCTGTACACCCGCAACCATCTGGCCATCCGCGCAGGGGCCATTGTTTCCGGAGCAGCCGAAAACAAGACTCTTGTCTGTGACAGTATTCGGGGGGAACATCGGCTCAGGGGAGAAACGGAAGGCTGTTTCGACACTTGGGGCCTTGAGGGAGTCGATCACAGGACGATAGTGCTTCTCAACAAGGTTGGATGCTGAAGGACCTCCGCTTTCTACGTAGTGACGACTGAGTTAGTATCTTGTTGTAAAGAACATAGCAATGATGGGCTGGCTTACCAGGTCCGAACCAAGAGAAGTAAGCCGGTGTCCTCGCAACATTGGACTTTCCAAGGGCAGTAAGGGCAGCATTTGCGAGTTCGTGTGCCTCGACAACGCCCTGGTCTATGTCGGTAATCTGCTGGGGGCTGCATGACCATTGCCCCTTGATGATGACAGCTTCACCATCGAAGGCCTTCGGGCTGTGTGGGATGAAACGTACTCGATGCCTTGGCATCGTGACATAAAAGGTTTTCTGCCCACGGCATCATGAGTAGGAAACTGTTGGTTCACGGGGTCGTATACGACAAATAGTGGTAGCAATTATCACTCGTCTGTTGGTGATCCTATTGCTTGTTCTTCTTGTTGTTCTTCTATCTTACATTGTAGGCAGGAGTCGGTCGAAGTAGGTAGTGACGGCCTGTGTGGTTGCCCCACCTTTATCCGGCCGTGATGAGTAAGCCGGTTGTCCCACTTCGCCCAGGGCAGGTGCCAGCCAGCCCATGGTACCTGCCTATTACTCCTTATCAGCCTTTGCTGTTCCAACAGAAACAGATCACGCCTTTCACCTCTTTTCGGATTTCTATTCCTGAAAGGAAATAAAAGGACAATGATTTCATCCGACAGTGGGAGAGTCCCGAGCACTGACATACACCCAGTGCCAGCATGCTAACTCACGGTTGTCACAAAGAAGAACAACCAGAGTATATAATTTGCTGTATGGTGCGAGTAAAGTCATCACATCGAAGGCTTTGTTTTTGGCTCACCACAGTTACCTCGACCAATGGAAGAGGAAAGTTGTCGTAGGCGCTAGGCCACCGTCTGAAATTTGGGGAGTGAGGCATCTTTCTGTTTCACATTTATCCTTCGGTGGTTCCAAAGACACAGCTTATATCTCCTCTCATTCTCCGTACGGATCTCACACTAATAAGAGTATCTGAACTTCCTGTTCTCAAAGTCCGTCAAGTCCATGAGAACTTCATCGGACAGATTCTCGGCATTCTTACCACTAGCCTCCGCCTCTGCGTCTCTCTGCTTGTTTCTCTTTATTAACAACAGCCGAATGGCGATAGCCAACACAACTTGACCGGCAGTGCAGCCCATGATGCCCTTACAGCCAGTACCATATATGGGTGCTTCCGACGCAAGGAAGGCTTGCGGGCCTATGATATTACCCACACAGTACGCTAAGAAGACGAAGGCAGTTGAGGTCACACGCTTGGTGTAACCTGCAACGTTGGCAGCGGGCATTTGGAGGGCAACGACAAGAGCACCGACGAAGGAAGGACTCTGCAAATTTTGTTAGAGGCAACAACTAGACATTCAAGGCTCCTCACTTACAATGTAGTACGCCATCAATAGCCCGTTCTTGTTGCCGCGGTCCAGCTTCAAGGACAAGGAAACCGCAATGAGTGTCGGCAGAACCCAAGTCATCATCACAATGGTCCGGAAGTTCTTAAGCTTTGAAGCGCAAAAGGGACCAGTAAAGATGAAGAAAGCAACCCAAGCGCCGTAAGGAATCCCGTAAGCAGTCGTCAAGAGAGCGTCCTTTGTGAAGCCCTTGACGATGAGTTTGCCAAAGTTGGCGATGCCTCCGTTGACAATTTCGTTGAGAAGGGTGTAGAAGAACAGAAGCCAAACTTGAAGGTCCTTGAAAGCCTCCTTAATTTGAGCTGGCTTGATCTTGCTGCTGAAGACACCAGTCTTGTTGCTCTGGCTGCGAGCAATAAGGAGGGCCTTCTCTTCCACGGTGAAGCGCTTGGCCGTCATGATGTTGTTGGGCAAGTAGAAGATCAGGACGATGCCCCATACGATGGTCAGACCACCGCAAATGACGAAGATGATTCTCCACACATCCCATCCATCCGCCTGGCCGACACCATAGAACAGAATACCGCCGATGATGGAGCCGAATCCGTTGAAGCAGTAGAACGATCCAGTGCGCATTGGTGCCTCCGCTCGGGTATACCACATGCTTACAATCATCATGAAGCAGGGTGTGATGACGGCCTCGAATGCACCCAAGAGGAAGCGGCAGACGGCAAGGCCGGCGAAGCTATGGGATGCGGCGGTGCAGGTGAGGAAAGTTCCCCAGCAGAGGACGAAGATGCTGACAATGGTGCCGGTGGGGAAGTGCTGGGCAAGGTGAATTGCCGGCCATTCTGCAAGTAGGTAGGCGAAGTAGAAGATGCTGGGTCACTGTCAAGTTGGGGTGTTGACGCAGGGTGGAAGCTCTCAGAGGCCAACTACAGTTAGGGGTAGAATGATGAATTACTGAAATCTGCTCCTCCCTCAACGTATACTCCCTGCGCTGTATATATATCTGAGCTACTCCTTTGTTGCTTGGACTCCTTACTACCTCTAACTAGCCCCTATCCGGGAGGGCTTTGACAGGGCGCCCCTTCCAACTAGGCTTCGTCCTCGAAGCTCAGTAGCAATGAACGCGCTGCGTTATCTCCCTGCGGTAGCGTTGCTCTTTGTCGCGGCAGCGTCGATGCGTTCGCGGAGATGCCGACCGTTTGTCCGAGTGTGGGTCCCGTACACGGAACAATAGTTGCCGCCCGGCCCCACATCGGCGACCTCTAGGCCGTCGCTGCCTGCTCCGGGCGTTGGGCGGTCGGTGCCCCCATTTTTCTTCGCCGATATCAATCCCGTTACTGTCGTGTAGGCCTTCCGATTCCTCTTCCCCTTCCCATCCGCAGTCACTCAGTTTGTAGGTTATTGGCTGGCTTTATCAGCGAATTCGTTGCTCCCTCGTTGCGTTGTCCCTGCTTGCTAATAATTTTCCAGACTTCTCTACTCCAGTTCCACAGCATGCCTCCTCAGCGAACTGGTGGCTTCGCTACCATCTCCGGGGGTGTTGTCGTTGGCGGCTCGGGCGCGCAGCCCCCGAACGGCGGCGGTGATCCGCCCAAGAAGACGCCCTATTCACGTCCCGAGGTATGTGCTCTGTCGGTGCTCTGCTGGTGCTCCGTTGGTGCTCTTGCTGATCATGTCAGACTCCCAAGAAGAAGCGTAAGAAGAACAAGAAGCTCGTCAAGGCTGGCTCCCGTCGTCAGGTCCCCTGCCCCTCGTGCCACGAATACTGGCTTTGGGAAGTGTTGGTTGTTTCAAAGAGGTCAAAAACTGCGCCATAACTCAGAGCCTGCTTATCGATGTACTGAAGGAGATATGTTCCCATGAGGAGGGGTAGTAGTGTGAGATCGATCTAGAAATGGGAACTATGTTAGCAAGAGGAATACTGGAGAGACAGGGAACTGTGCTGCATTTTCCCGGGAAACGGGTGTCGGAGAACCTACCCGACGGACGAGCTTCTTCTGAGCCTGTTCATCCTCCATAAGCTCTCGCAGATGCGCATGAGAAAGGCCATTCTGCTGCAAGAAGATCTCGGCCTCATCAAGAAGCTCAACTTCACTAGCCTTGAGATCCTCTCCGATGCTGCCCGGCCGAGAAGGCTGCTTCTCCGCAATCTCCAGATCCTTGGACCTGGGTTGCTCTGCGTTGACGGAAGCTTCAACCGCCATTGTGGAGTCCGGGGAAGTGGGCCAGCGGGTCGTCGCTGTTGTGTTCGAGCACGCGATGAACGATGTGGGCACAACTACTCGGTAGTTACAAGAGTTACATGTAGCAACCGCTGGTTGCTGTTATGATGTGAGGCTTTACAAAGTCAAGCGAAATTGCTGAGTTGCGAGCTCGGACAATTGCGAGTGGTCGGAACTTTCCCGGATCGGCAAATCCCAAGGTCGGGAGTCTCCTTTTATTCATTGTCATTATCAGTGTTGGTATCCCTATTACAGGGAAGTTGGTTCGAACCGTAGCGTCCTGGGGGTGACGAAGTATCAATATTTCTGTATTGATTGATTCTGCGTAAGGAGTATTAGAAGGGAGATTCCAACCGGAGGTTGGGTGGGTAGTCGAGGTCTAAGTGTACCCCCTCGAGGTGGCCCATGCTCTGCCCCTACTCGCGGCCGAATTGGACTTCCAATCCGACAATCAGAGGTAAAAGATTTCCGGCGTTGGCTTTGTCTGATTCTCAACCAACCCAAGACCTTGCCCCCAACTCGATAACAGACTAACCGATAGCGACTGCTCGAACATGTCTCTGGGCGGCGGCCTGCTTCCGACAACATAGGCTACAGATAAGATGTCAGGCGATATTATCTGCCCAAGACAGCGTCATATCCTAGTATTCCTCACTAGCAAGACCCATTTGCTGATAATGGTCCCGAGTCTTAAGGAACTTCCCCGCGTTGAGATGGGGGCATGATGAAGAAGTGGAGTTGCCGTGGGCACTGTGCAGCCATTGCCATTGTCGGAAAACCAATGAAGACCGGAGAGTAGATTTGGATGCCGAAGCGGGTGAATCGACGGTTGAAGACTAAGTGGAGACATTTCGGTGAACCTCCGCCTTATCAGCTTGCGCGTTGACTAACAACTTATCAGACGCTAGCGTGAGTTGATCGGAATTTAGCCATGATAATGGTTGTGGACCTTTCCGCGGGGAAATATCAAAGGCACGACTCCCACTCAACTTCCCCGAGTGCGGTCTGCCGATGAACGGACTTTGCAAACCACGACTGAACGCCAAACACGAAGCACGCAACCATGTCCACAGGAACAGATCAGCCTACGCCCCGGCCTTACCGATCCCATTTGCGACCAGCCTGTTTGCAGTGCAGGCGGCGTAAGTCAAGATGCCAGCAGCAAGAGGGAATCACGTCGTCGACCTGTCAAATGTGCCATGTCTATGGCACCGACTGCGAGTTCCCACCATCTCCTCGCAGTGCAGGTCGCACACCGCTCAACCCCGGAAAAGTCCAGAAATCCTATCGCACCTCTCAATCTAACACGCCATGTCGGCGAGAGCCTCTGGCTTCAGCCAAGGTACATGTTTCCGTACCCCAGAGTAGCACCATACGGGCATCGTGTTCTCCACCAACGAGCACGACGTCCAGCTCGGGCCCCAAAGTTGTGCTTGATCCGCACAATACCCATTTGATGCTGGCGCTGGACAGCCCTGAAGACGAAGACAACTCGCACATCATTGGCCCAGCTGTCACAAACGACACCCAGGTGTTGGCTGACTACTTGAGTTCTGAGCCAAGCATCCACGAACGGATGATCCGTGTGGTGAAGCCTAGACCTGGAGCTCAGGTGGGCCAGATGCCCCGTCCTGCTATGGCGGGTGGGATCCGGAAGCCTGTCATCTTTACGGCGGTTCGGAAGCGCCCCTATGGTCTGTCACCGAGACAAACAGCACCGTTGCAAAAATACCAGATTGTGGAAAAGATGTTGGAGCCATGGACTTCAACACTGATAGATCTGTAAGTTCGGCCGTGGACTACTTGCCACCTCCAGAGGAATCATCATGTCTATGGTGAAGCTGTGCCAGGAAGAACATGGATGGGTACCAAGAGTCATTTTTAACCAGTCCCTACGCAGTTACTTCCAAAAGGTCAACATATGTTTTCCGCTTCTGGATGAGGTTTCATTCAAGCACCAATTCAACACAGCAAGAGACAGGATATCGCCGGCGCTCTTATCGGTCCTCTATGCACACTCTATGATCTTCTGGAAAACGAGTCCAGAATTGTCCTCGCAATATTGTCCAGACTCTCGGTTTATCTGGAACCAAGCCACAGGAACCTTGTTTTCTGAACTCCACATTTCGCCTGGAATTTCTACCATTATCGCCATTATTCTCAATGTGGGAGGTAGACCAACCACGTCAATGATCATGAACGAGATTCAGCTCGGCGCTGCTGTGTCACTGGCTCAATCACTGGGGCTCAACAGAGACCCCGTAGACTGGAACATTTCCATGCCGGAGAAGTGTCTGCGGATGAAGATATGGTGGGCACTCGTTGTACATGACAAGTGGTGAGTTGACCGCCGATAACAGCCTTGAACATGACTAACCTGATGTGCAGGTTGAGCCTAGCCTACGGAACGCCACCTCAGATCAAGCGCTATCAGTACGATGTTCCAGATCCCTCGCTGGAGTATCTCACCGGGAAAGACGCAAGCGAAGCTCAAATCGCGGCCGCTTCGGTCTTTATCGGTCTGGTCACTTTGACCGGGGTTCTCGATAAGTATCTGGAGCACGTCTACGACCTTAACCAAGGCCGAGACCAAGATAGCAGCCAGACATCCCTTGACTTGGAGCTCAGCCTTGGCCAGTGGGAAGATTCCCTGAGCGACGACGTTAGGCGAGTTATTACCCGCGGAAACAACCTGCATATCCCCGGCGCCGCGAACCTGAGACTAGCTTATCTCTCAACCGTGCTACTACGCAGGAGAATCGAGCTCGATATCGAGAAGCAGGAGGACTCGGTTCCCGGTGACGCACTCACGAACCGATACATCCAAGTTCGCCGCGCCGCGGAGGAGATTGTGCTCCTTGTACAGGAGCTGGAGGAAATCCACCTCAGTGATTTCTGGCTTCCAGTCAGCGCGTTCGCATTCACGTCGGCGATGACGTTCCTCTTGCGATGCGCCCTGGAAACCGAGAACACCGCCGGTGGCTTGGCTCAGAGCGCATCTCTGAAGCTGGCCAAGAACTTGATCGACTCCTTGCAATCTCACCAACAGAACTCTGGATGGGATCTGGGTGACCTCTGTTTGGCTCAGTACGCCGAGGTTGTTGAGCGTTTGCAGACTGCTGATAGCCCTTCGGCGACGGTTCCGGAGTTTCAACAGCTGATGATGTCCTCGGACGTTCCAATGATTGATGAGCTATTTCCTAATCTCTGGGATATGTTTTGATATGGCTACTTCATGAGCAACTTTACGTTTTCTTGTATCATAGATAATAAGCCTACGACTAATGATTGAACTATTTCCTTGACTTCACGCTAAGCGTCCAAAATTGCATCTCGTATCAAGCATATTTAAATCTAGAGGCATACTTAAGATCTACACTTTAATCTATTTAAAGGGTTTCTTTTTTTCCTCGGTCGTAGACTGCGTCATTTTCGTGTTTGAACGCCTTTCAATACTCGTAATAACTATTCCGGATATAATCAGGCCTATTATAAACCTAGTCTCATTAAAGTTATAGATATTTAAGTCTATAATGCCGTATTTCGCGATTGTGTTCGCTATAAGGCGAAACTATGTGCTTATTACGTCTGGATCTTTGTATTGGGCCCTCTTGTAGTTACACTTGCGAAAAAAGCGCGTCCGGAGCTATAGTTATTGCTTAACGAAGTTCAAAGCCTAGCGCTTCTTAATTAGGGGCGCGTTATGATTAGTAGGTAGTCAATTAGCTATTTCTTCTATACTACTGATCCGAGGAGGGAATAATCGGGAATCTAGGTCGAGAATATACTTAATTAGCGTATCTTTTTAAATAACGTTAAATTCCATAAGTTTAGTATGGTTTTAAGTTACGAAGTTCTTTTATTAATAAGGGCGCTTAAGGTTAAAAATAGCACTAAGTACATCCGAGCTGTACCTTTAATATTTAAATTTAATGTAGTTCACAAGCGAGTGAGCCACACAAGCGAGTGGGCCACTCTCTTATCGCACCTTAAAGGTCGATTATTTACTTATTTATTAAAAATCGAATATAAGGCTAAAATTAATAAACTATTTTACATAAGCTTTGATAAGGGCTATAATATAAAATATAATATTATACAAATCATATAGTTATAGCTTTATATAAGAGGAAATATAAAAGTGGGTCTACGATAAGGCTAAATTTCTATATAGGAGTTTTAGAGGTATGTATAATTTTTACGTTATAATATTATGTTTTATAATAGAACCCTTATCGAAGCTCATTTGAAAAGGCTTCTATATTTTAATCTTATATCAGATTTTGAATAAATAGTTAAAAATCGACCTTTAAGGTGCGATAAGGGAGTGGCCCACTCGCTTGTGTGGCTCACTCGCTTGTGAACTACGTTAGTGTTTTTTTTGATAGCTTAAACTGCTAGAATTATGCTAGCCTCTTTGTTTGATGACTATATTATTGTGGTGGATAGATATGTGTTGGAAAGAAAAAGATGTGGCGGTCGCTGTTGAGCGATCCGCTCGCTTGTCCGATCCGCTCGCTTATCATCCACGTTATTTATAATAAATATAATATTTTTATTATACTAAAGACTACGGCTAGAGCGACCGTAAGATCTAAACCGTACTTTTTTATCTTAACTACGGTATATTCGGTCGGTCTAGAACGACTCGGGAATATTATTATTATTAATAAAAGAACTATAAAGGTACTACTAAGGCTTTTTACATTCGCGTTCACGCTCGATAGTATAGATTAAGGCATTTAATTAACGAACTATACCCTAAAAGGTCTCTTTAGGTACGAGTAAGACATAGCGACACACTAGAATACCTTTATAATTGTTAAATAATTAATCTCGTATATTAAAGCCAGAGCCGAACGGGGCAAGAGCGTCGTAGAGGATAGAGATACGTTAAATAAGCTCTTAAAACATTTATTAACCTAACTTACCTAGGTTCTCACGGGCTATCGAGCGGTAATTAAGATTGTAAAGCTCGGTAAGGTATATACGTTAAGTAGAAGGAGGCTCGAAATAATCCCTAACTTTATCGTATATAATATCGAAGCTTATAATAGCGCTAGTCTAACTAAGTTATTAAAGTAGAAGGATACTACCCTGCGCTTAAGCATTTCGAAGAAGGCACCTATATAGCCTAACTAATCGATCCCTACCTTACGGCAGAGGTCTCTAAATATAGCTACCTTCTTTATAAAAATCTCATACTTATTACCGCTATACTTACGCTTATTGGAGTAGAGCTTAACTAGGATAATAAGTAAGCGTATATTGGGTATTATATTCTTGGAAGGAAGGCAAGGATATTGTTAATATCGCTTAAGGCGTTCGTCGATTATAATATCTTCAAAAAGATATTAACCTAAAGAAGGAAGGTCGTGGCCTAGTAAGTTTGAAATAATTGGTAAAACCGTAGGTTAGGTAGGAGGTAGAGCTTATTATCAAATAAGTAGCTAAGAAGGAGGGGCAGTACCTCTAACCTTGCGAAGGAGGTCTATCATTAAAGTATTATTTAAAAAATAATATAATAAGGAACTTAAAATCTTTTATAATCTTACGAAGGCGGGCATACTTACTACGGGCCGCGTAGATCTCTTCGTCCGCCTATATTAGCATATTATCTATCTCGACTAGCCAGCGGAGTTTATAATAATAGCCCCCTATAACTAGCGCTATTAATATTAGGGAATTGATACACGGGCATGACAGCTACGCACTGTCATTGGCCCAAAAACTGCTGTTAACTCATCCTGATTCTGCCGGTTCTACCCAAAGTATCTGGAAAGGAATTTTCGGAATTCGCAATCGCGACGCGTCCATCCGGTCAAGCCGCCATTGCTATATCATGATACCTCCTATGTCCGAGTCCGCCCTACCGCCACTAAGGCGCAACCCGCAACGTCGAGCTAGGAGCTCGACCTCGAGTAACGAGCCCGACCCAAAGCGGCGACGCAATAGATATTCTTTTATCTCGCGACCTCCTACCGCTAGCAGTTCGGACATAAGCATTGGTAACCACTATGGCCTTAGCGACGACAATGCTCTTGAGAACATCTTTGCTTCCTACCCAGACCGGTTCTATCAAGTTACTCGCCCCTACGGCTCGCGCGGGAATAACGCGGCACCTATCGAAATACAGGATGACCATAAAATCTTTCTACACCGGTTATTTCCGACGAATACTACTCAATCTTATCGAGTAACTATGCCAATACTTGGCCCGGAATACGGCCTACTCCCATCGCATCCTACCTACGAATCCACTTCACAAGACGAAGAGCATCGACCTATACAAGCTACCTCTATACAAGATTTCACATCTACATTACGCCTAGTAAAGGAAGTAGTGGGGGAAGGCCGGCAGCTAACTAAAGAACTGCTTAATTCTTTTGAACGAGTTCGACGATGGCGACAGAGATGGGGTTATTCACCACACCCATCTAATACGTCTACGTCACCACCCCCACCACCATATTCCCCTCCTCGCTATACGAGGTATCCTTCTACCGATTCTCAAGTAAACTCAACAACTTCATTACTACGAAGTTCCTACTCCCCAGGTCAACGCTCGTCTTCGCCTCTACCCGACCCGATACCAGACCCACAGATTCCTGGCAACCCAGAGCCCACAGTCGATGCCCTGTTCGACCGAGTCAACGCATTTGCTAGAGAGAACGGGTTTGGCATTGCACGTCGACATAGATATAGTTACATATAAAGGCAAAAAGATAAGATACACGTTTCAATGCGACCGCTTTGGTGAACCGCGGCCTACTGAGGGTGCGGGGTTACGCCAACGAAAATCGCGAAAGTGTGGCTGCAAGTGGATGATTATTGCTGAGACGAAGGAAGAGGGTGCTTGGCTTTTACGACGGCATGCTAAAGCCGAGCATGCCCAACATAACCACGGGCTAAGCCTCAGTTCCTCGGCACATCCTTCGCATCGGAGGCTTACACCATTAACTAAGAGTACTATTGAAGCCACTAGCCGCTGGGTTGGTATTAGGGCCCGCGACGTTCGTGCTATCGTTCAGGAACAATTCCCAGATTCCGTGTTCACTCAACAGGATATCTATAATGCTAGAGCCATTATAAACAGGGAGAAATTAGACGGCCACTCGCCAACAGCCGCTCTGATAAAGCTCTTCGACGAGCGAGAGGTGCCCTATATTGTTAAGTGGGCTGATTACGAGCCCAACCGGCTTGTTGGCTTAGTATAGACATTCCCATTTTGTCTCTCAATGTGGAGGCGCTTCCCGGAGGTAATCAGCCTTGACAACACATATAACACGAATCGCTTTAAGCTTCCGCTGTTTCAAGCCACTGGCCAGACATGTACTGGATCTATTTTCAACGCAGCATTCGGCCTTATTAATAACGAGAGATTGGAAGGGTTCCAGTTCCTCGCAAAAGGCATCCGTCAACTAGTTAACCAGCATTCGATTCGCTTACCAATTGTCATCATTACCGACTATGATAAGCAGATGAAGGCCGCCTTAGCTTACGAGTTCGCCGACGTACAGCAACAGCTTTGCATCCACCATATCAACTCCAATGTTATGCTTAGGGCTAAGCAGAAGTGGGTAAAGGGAAAACGGCTAGAGGGTGCCGGCAGTAGCTCGGACCACGAAGACGACAATGAGCCCTCGAGAACACTCATAACGGAATTAAGCGACGAGGACCAGGCGTATATCCACACGCCCACCAACGATTCAATCCCCCATACATATCTCAGAGTCTTTGCAATATGGAAGCTCATTGTCTTTGCGGAGACCGAGGTTGCTTATAAGAAAGCATAGGCTAGTCTCTGTAAAGAGTTCGATGACTAGCGGCTAATATTACGTTATCTTTACGGGATATACCTTCCCGTTAGAGCTCAGTAGGCTCGCTACTATATCCGAAAATATCAGAATTTTGGTATTCGCGTCACCTCAGGGACCGAGTCTAGCAACAATAACATCAAAGGCTATCTCCTCAATGGCCTGAGTCACTTATACCGACTCGTTGATGTTATGCAGGATATGATTCGAGACCAAGAGTTACGGTTTACGCAGTCCTGTGCAGAGGATAAGGTGCTAACTGCCCGTCAATACGCTGGAGCTAGTTCGGAGTACCTAGGTGAACTCCGAGGTATACTTTCTTTAAAGTACTTAGGGTTGATTATAAAGCAATACCGGAAAGCAAGGACAGCATTGCCGACCGGCAATCATCCACGGCCCCCTCCTA